GGTCGAGAGCGGAGCCGAGACCCGCACGGGCCCAGCCCGTTACAACACCCCCCTCCTCCCGTTTCGAGGGGGCTGCTTTGATCCAACTTTGCCATGAACTGCTTCGTACTGGGCCAAGGCCGTCGTATCTGCGAGATGCTTCACCGGTTCCCACGTTGGCTCTACATAGCCAACCCACTTGACAAGCACCTTCCATTGTCGTCCCACCTTCTTCTGGCCACGAATCTCCTCTACCTCCCACAGCTCGCCGTCGTCCGTGAGGATTGCCGGTGGTCGATGGTCGTCCGACGTCTGCGACGGAAGCGGGTCATCCGCTGCTAATTTTAACAGAGACACGTGAAAAACATTGTGGACCCCAGGCGGCGTGTCGAGCCGACATGCGTGCGATCCAACTGTCTCCAGGACTGTATACTTGCCCGAAAGCCAGTCCAGCTTCTTAGATGGCCGGTTGGACCGAATGTTGCGCAATCGAAGCCATACTTTGTCCCCTGCCTTGAACTGGTCTGAAGGTTGCCGTCGGGTGTTGGTGTTCTCTTCTTGCCGTTCCTGTGCAGAGGCCATGGCCGCTTGCGCCCATTGCGTTGCCTCTTGGAGCCGTTGCACAATGCCTTCTGCTTTGGCCACGGGCGACTTTCCATCCACTCGTAACTTTTCCTTGACTTGGATGGGCTCGATGTGATAGCCATGCGTGAGGAAGAACGGGCTTTGTCCCGTGGATGTTGCCATGCGATTGTTGATGGCCATCGCGGCCGCCGGCAACAGCTCGTCCCAGTCGTCCTGCGCATACGTCGCGAAGATACGAATGTACCGCTCGACCTCTTGATTGGCCCTCTCCGTTGCGCCATCTGTCTCAGGATGCCAAGCCGTCGAAAGCCTCTGTTTGATACGTAGCAGCTCGCATAGCCTCTTCCACAGTCTGCTGGTAAACTGCGTTCCTCGATCGGTGACGATCGCACTGGGGATACCATGATGCTGCACCACGTTGCGTACCAAGGCTTTGGCTGTTGTCTCTGCCGTGATATCTTTGAGCGACTCGAAGATGACGCTCTTGGACAAGCGATCTGTGACGACCATCAAGTTGGTAGAGCCATTCGACTTCGTCGGCGGCAGGTCGGTGACGAAGTCGATTGACAGTTCCGACCAAATCCGCTCCGGAATAGGCATCGGCTTCAGGAGTCCGCGCCGCTTCTCCCTCCAGATATTGCTTCGTCCGCATACGTCGCAGTTTCTCACAAACCGGCGGGCATCTGCGTCTAAGCCTGGCCAGTAAAACCGCCTACTCAGTAGCGATTTGAGCATGTCCCGTCCCGGGTGTCCTGCGAGTGCCGAATCGTGCGTTTCCTGCACCAATCGGGTGCGTAAGGGCTCATAATTAGGCACCCAAATCCGTTCTCGCCAACAAAGACGCTGCCCGTCGTCAATGGAGCACTCTGACAGCATGACGGGAAGGCCCCACTGCGATGGTAGTCGCCTCTCGCCTTGCTGTACCGCCTTTCGAATGAGCCAATAACGATTGTGCTGCTTTAGGCCTTCGTTCCATAATCTCTGCAGCTCCTCGTCGGTAAAAGGGTTCTCGACTAACTCATCTTGGTCCGCCGTTGCGTCACCGGGTTGGTCGGTGTCTCCCTTGGTGACATAACCACTCTTGACTCTCGTCACGAGACCACCTCCCTTGATTGGCTCCAGCAATTGTACGCGCCGTCGTCGGAGGCGATCATCTTCGGCGCTCTGTGGCATGTCCTGTTCCCGTCGCGATAGTGCGTCCGGCACCACAGCTTCCTTGCCCGGTCGGTGCTTGATCGTGAAGTTGTATCGCGACAGTGTCTCAGCCCACCGTGCCTGCCGCTCGCTCAGAGGTTGCTTCTTCGTAAAGTATTGCAGGTTAAGATGGCCCGTAAGGACGGTAAAGGACGCGACGCCCCTGAGCTCAGCGTCCCAATGCTCTAGGCAGCGAATGATCGCCAACAGCTCCTTGTCGTGGATCGGGTAGTTGCATTCCGCCGGCGCGTTCTTCTTCGAAAAGAAAGCCACAGGTCGCATGATGCCGTCATCTGCTCGTTGCGAGAGTGCGCCCCCGGTGACGTAACCTGACGAATCCGTCTCGACAACTGTTTCCCTGTCCGGGTCCCATTGCGCAAGGATCGGCGCGGTAATGAGGCGCAGCTTTAGCTCTTCAAATGCTGTCTGGCAGTCCTTGGACCATACGAATGCGGCATCTTTCTTTGTCAGGGCCGTCAGAGGTGACGCGATGCTCGAGAACTTGGGGATGAATTGGCGGTAATAGTTCGCGAACCCCAGGAAGCTTCTGACACCTTTCACGGACCGTGGCGGCTGCCATTGTTGGATGGCCTGTACCTTCTCTGGGTCCACTCGGATACCTTTCCCGGCTTCGACGATAAAACCCAGATATTTGACGCTCGTCGCCTCGAACTTGCATTTATCGATGTCGATTTGCAGTCCCGCGTCTCGCAGTCGCGCGAGGACCTTCTTGACCTTTTTCCGATGGTCGGCGAGTGAGCCGTTCGAGTAAATCAGAATGTCGTCAATATAGGCCGAGCAAAACTCATCCAGGAACTCCCGTAGCGTGTGATTGATGTAGCGCTGAAAAGTGGCGGGTGCACCTGTCAACCCAAATGGCGTGACCAGCCATTCGTAGAGCCCGTATCGCGTGCGGAACGCCGTCTTCCACTCGTCCCCCTTTTCGATGCGCACTTTGTGGAACGCAGCGATGACGTCCAGTTTTGTGAGCCACCTTGCTTTCGAGAGCGACCGCAGTGTCTCCTCAATCAGCGGTAGTGGATAGCGGTCCTTCTTGGTGATCGCGTTCAGGCCACGGTAGTCCACGCAAAAGCGCAATCCTCCACCCGGCTTGCGCACGAAAAGCACGGGTGCAGATGCGGGTGAACTACTCGCGCGAATGAATCCCTTGTCGAGCAGCTCGGTGAGCGTCCTACGTAGGACTATTAGCTCCTCCCGTGACATGCCGTACAAAGGTCCCCAGGGGGGTTCCTTTTCCCTGCCATTTGCGTCCTTCTCCAAGATGATCTTATGGTCTGAGCCAGGTCGGTGCGGTGGCAAGCGATCGGCCTGGCCTCGGTCGAAAACCGACAGGTACTCATGGTAGTGTCTCGCCAGCTTCTCTCGGGCGTCCGTCTTCTTCTTCGGCGCCAGTGCCTTCTCAATGTCTGCCAAACTTGCTGAGAAGACGCGTAGCCCGCGCTGATCCTGTTTCTCCCTTCTCGCTCGGCGGACAAGCCCTGCGAAGGTCGCCGCTGGCTGCCCGTATAATTCGTACCGTTCGTGGTGGTCGGGATCTCTCTCTTTGACCCAATGGTCTTGTGAGCCAATATGCAGTAAGCCCTTCGAGGGGTAAAGGACAACATCCTCTTTGTTCATCCAGGTTCGTCCAAGTAGGACTTCATCTTTTTGTTCAGGAATAATATAGAAGAAGAATCGCTTCTTGCGGTACCCGTCTATGTCGATGTCGGCGTACGTAACACCCCGGATAGCGCCAGGCAGCGACGTGCTTACCTCGTCAAGCGTTCGCGGCGTGATGAGAATACGCGGCAGGCGCGCCTTGCGGACTAGAGCTTCGTTGACCGTACCATAGCACAGACAGCCGGAATCGACGTGGGCGACCGAATAATATTCTCGGTTGATCCCTATGTTGACATAGAAGGGCGGGCTGTCCATCTCACGCTCTAACTGTTTCCACTCTGCCCGGGCCTGCTGGTGCTCCTGGCGGCGATTTTGGCCAGGAGCTACTCGTTTCCCGAGCCGTCGTCCGTGGCAGTCTCGTACTGACTGCTTCGCTCGTCCTCTTGCTCCTGGTGGTCTCTCGTCTTAAGTTTGGCCCTGGCAACCTTTGTTTTGGGCTGTGGACGCTCCGGCTTCCTGGCTGGCTCTGGCTTCCCAGCCGGGCGCTCTCGCGGTCTCTGAGTGCAGTATGCGGCTATGTGGCCGATTTCGTCACACCGGAAGCACCTCCTCTCGTCTCGCGACCAACGCCTACTGTCCTTACGTTGGTCTTGTCGAGCACCAACTCGTCCTATCTTGGTAGACTCCCAATCCATTTGTTCCGGGCTCTCCGTCCTCGATGATAATGCCAGCTTGGGTTGGTGGTATTGATTCGTATGTCCCCAATGCGGGTTCACTTTCCCAGGATCTCCAAACTTGTCCTTCCTGTTCAAGCCGTCGAGCCTAGAGGATACCTTCTGTAAGGTCTGGACCCAGATTGAGTACACTCTCCGATCTAAATCCGTATAGACTGCTGCGAGACGTAGCTGCTGGTTGATTGCCCCTTCGAGGTAACTTATCTTGACATCCTCCGGCCAGGCCGCACCGCCCGAGTCAGCCAATTCTCTCTCGAACCTCGGCAGGAAGGCAGCGAACGACTCGTTCTCTCGCTGCCTGAGGGTCCGCAGCCTTTCCATCGCCCGGGCTTTTGCATTGGGGTCCCCATAACACTCTTCCAGATATTGGAGGTAATGATCCGGATCCGACATTCCGTCGTTCCCTCCTGCTTCCACATACGCTATGGTCATCCGCTGCGGTGCGCCACCGAGTCTTGCATAGATGTAGGCAAATTGATCCGCCCTGCCACCTATGGCTCCTCCATCCACTCGAAGCTTGTTCTTCATTTCGCTGAGCCAGGCACGAAACTCCAGCCGGTTTCCTTCGAACCGCGGGGGATCCGGCAGAGTCGGCTTCCTCTTGGCTGGCGCGACTTCAGTCAAGTTCGCTCGGCTCCCTTCCGACTGTGCTTTATTGACGGATGGAGGCGCGCAGGACGCCTCCGTTGGCGTGGCAACAGCTGACTGGAGAGCGCGGATTTGTGTTCTAACCTCTTCACGGTCTGCTTCGCGTTCTGCACGCAATGCTTGCAGTTGTTCCGACATTTGGCTCATCATTTGCATGAGCATTTGGGAGGTTCGCTCCTGCGAGCCTCCATCGTGGTTGTTAGCCTCCATCGGGAAAGATGTTGGTCCGGTCCGGTGTTTCGATCCGGCTCGACTTCCTATCCCTTCCTGGGATCTTCTGCTGCTCGTGGTGCATACGAGGCCTCTGCAGGTAAGCTGTGCTCCGTTGCCCCTAGGCAAGAGCCTTCCGCCACTCGTTATCCGAACGAGGTCCTGACGGGAATCCGATACCGCACCGCTCGCGAGTAGTCTTCTGCTACTCGTGTTCCGCACGAGGTCTTAGCAGGCATCCGACGCTCGATCGCTCACAGGCGAGAGCCTTCTGCTGCTCGTCGCTGGACGAGGTCTTCGCAGGAACCAATACTCTATTGCTCCTTGCGCAAGAGTCTTCCGCCAAACTTCGGATATGGCGGGCACACGGGCCAGCCTCGGGACTGCCCTACCTCTGCTGCTCCGTACGGGACGAAGTTGTCAGCCTTCTGCTCTACCGGCTTGAACGCTCGACAAGCCGAGCAGGAACCCAACCAAATGACTCCGGTCAAATGGTCCTCGCTTCTCCAGGCACTCTCCTGCGCCGCCGGTCACGCACGCTGAAGCGGTGCCGGCACTGCTATTCCCGTTTGACGCGTACGCCGCGCGGCGAAGTTCGCAGCGTGTTGCCAATGATCGTGATCAAAGGTGCGCTCGTGGAAAGGAGCTTTAGGATAATGTAACGGTCTCAACTGAGTGTGTTGACAACTAGCTGAGCGACTGCAACGAGTATCCTAAAGCTAAGGAGAAAGGAAGGGAAGAAAAGAAAAGAAGAGAAAGTTGCAGAAAGAAACACGAGCTTTTGAGCGGAGCTCCGGAGCTGGTGTGGATCCCGGTCGAGAGCGGAGCCGAGACCCGCACGGGCCCAGCCCGTTACAGTAGTATTGATCGAGCTTCATCCAGCCCAGATTGCAGCCGATTCGCAGGTAAGGCTCCTCGTCCCGTTCGTGCTGTAGCTTTGCCTCTTCTAGGTGCTTCAGAAGCCATTCCATTGTGGGCAAAACCTCCCGAATCGCGCCGAATTTGCCTTGCCTTGGCTGGCCCTCTAGGCGCTTTGTCGCGATCTTCAATGGTTTCAAGATCGCCAAATATTCTGCAATAACGGACCAGTCCTCAGTGGCCATCTGGTCATCTACAATTGTAGGCTTCTTGCGGCACCTCTTCGGCATCGGCTTTGCCCCGTGCTGTGTCCTTCTCGCTACGTATTGCTTCCACTCTGTCACCTCCGCTTGGACCAGCGAATCGAGTGCATTGCGAAGCATGTAACCTCGCTCCATCATCGCTTCGGATGAGTTCCAGCGAGTAGCGTTGTCCATGACGACATCGTAGGTTGTTTTGTCTTCGAGGCCCAGGGCTGTGTTCTCAATGCATTGGAGCTTGTGGAGCCGTTCAATGCGCTGGCCAGACCTTTCCACCCAGTGAACAATATTGTGCAGCTTGCCGATCGGCCCCCTTGATCTCCAGAGCCTGACCTCATCTTGTATCTCCTTGTTGGCTTGGCAATCCTCTTCGAACGCGTCGGCGTCCGTGCCGAAAAGAATGGATCGGGCGACAAGGTTGATGATGTGGCCGCAGCAACGAAGCCGACGATGCTTCTTGTTGAACCCCAACTCGGTGCCCAATTCTTCAAGACACGTGTCGTTGTTCTCCGCATTGTCTGTGACAAGATGTCCAACGCGGTCCTCGAACCCATACTCGTGGATTATCTCGCTGACACGGTCGGCCAGATTTTCTCCGCAGTGGCGACCTTCAATCCGTGGCAAACCGAGGAGAAACGTACGGAACTTCCCTTCGTCATCAAGAAAGTGTACGGTAAGGCCGAGTAGGGATGTGAATTTTCGGGAGGACCAAGCATCAAAGGAAACGTTGATGCGGCTGAGTGGCCGACGAAGTAATTCCGTGACAACGCCTTTATGACGATTGAATGAGCGCACAATCCAGTCGCGTATTGTGCTATGGGTGGGAATACTGCCCGAATCCGCAATCGCGCTATTCGCGTACGCCATAAGATCGCGGAAGTACGGGCTCTCCAGTTTGTGGAATGGGATGTTGTCGCATGCCACCCAGCGTATTAAGAGTTGTTGAAAGCGAAGCGGTTCAAAGGACGAGATGAAGGCATTCATCAGAGCCTGATCCTTTGGTCGGTGGGTGTCTATGTCAACCACATCGAAAAGCGTGCGTTGCTTCTTCCTCTGTCGCATTGGCCCGCCTTTGCTGATGTGGTGAACTTCTTCCATGTGATTGTTCGCTTGACTTGTGGATGCAGCATCGTACATGTGCGTAATTGTAGCCTTCTTCCCGTGGCAGACTTTGCAAAGCCAGAATCGATGGCCGGAATCGTTTTTCTCGATGTCGAACCCGTGCTCCCATGCCCAGCCCGTCCGCGCTCTTTTTCTATACTTGCGTATAGAGAACCCCGCGAGGCGATTCCAATCGATGCCTTCATAGCCGACGTGGTCGGTGGAAGGCGATGTGTCAAGGTCGGGAGAGCTCTCGGGAACGCTAAAACTGGTGGATGGGACGCTGGAAAGGGCGGCCGACAGCGCTTCGCCTTCTGCTGTGCGCGCCATTGCAGTCAAGGCCAGAGTTTGTCTTTTCTTGGCCACCGGCTACAAATGTCCCTCTCCATAATATGGCAGACGCAGCCAAAGATATATTTCACAGTCAATTGTGTCACGTCAAGTGCCAAAAGAAGGGAATGGCTATACGGGCATGACGTTTTGGCTACACGGGCGTCGCCCTTACACGGGCGTGACTTTTGCGACATTTGATTGGACAGCCGTCAGGTACATTCTTGACAAGAAATTAGTACCTGAAACCTTAGCAAACAACTCTTTGACAGTTTTGGACAGGCCGGCCGTCCAAATTTCGGCCGCGCAGCGCTTCGAGAAGGTCATGTAAGATTGACTTCATAATTCAACCAGGCAAGTCTCTGTATTTCTATTGTCTGACCACTATGGAAGGAAGAACCTCGTCATCGCTGTCGTTGTCCAAGAGCTCCCATTGACTCTTTCGCCTCCGTATGCTTGGCTGTGTCCTGCGTCCGCTCGCACGTACTCCTGCTGTTTTTCCCGCTCCCAGCACAGAGGATTGGCTGCGCGTCTGGCGCTGGGATGGGTGTGTCGCTTGTTGAGTGGCCTGGCCACTGGCTTGCTGGGTCACAGCATGCCTGGCCCGTGTCGTGCCGTGCTGACTCCGTGCACTTTGCTTTGGCCGTGTCGGGTGTCTGGGTTGCTTAGGAGCTGTGCCCGTCTGGCTGCCCGACCCGATATCTAGCCGCGCCGGAACAGCCTGCGAAGTGTTCTTGGGCCTTCCGCGAAGAGCAGTGGTAATCTTGGGGTCGAGGATTCGCCGATATCGATCTCGCGAGGCCGACTCTCGTAAGTGCCACCGTGGATGAACGTCCCACTTAGTAAAATGCGTTCCCTCGTCCATCTTGGCATAGATTTTATGACAGCAAGGGATGCCAAGTTCTACCGAGACTGAGCAGCCCTCCTCACACTCTCCCAAATGGACGGGGAGCGGATCATTTCTTGTCGACATTGCCTTCTCTGCTGTCCGATGTTGCCTTGCGATCAGCCCAATTGCCTTGGACGAGATCGTGGTTCGCAGATCTCCCAGGTACTCTGAGCTTGAGCCAAGATACCTGCGGTCAGTCAATACCTCGTCCTCTGCGCTAGCGTGAGCGAAGTCCCGCTCCTGGTCGCGCAGCATGTCCTGGATCGCCTCAACTAGCCGATAGAGATTGCTCATGCCATTCAGAAGGTAGCTCTTGACGTTGTTATTGCTCGCTTCTGTGCCAGACGTGACCCGAATGCCAAAGTTGCGATATTTGCGGATAAAGCAACGCGCCCACTGAGCCCTAACGGGCATGTACGTCCCATGGAGATATCGTAGGATAGCGCGCTGATCATCAAACTCCCGGCATAGGTCAGACCACGCCTTCTCATGAGCTTCTTGGGTCTCAGCGAACATGACATGCTTCCACATCATGAGCACCCCACGGTAGCTATGAGGAATATCCTCCGCCACTGGCTCGTGGATGAACCGCCGGTCTTTGGGGCTGAGCTTTGCGCGCGCTTGTGTGTAGGCTGTGTTCTCATCTCGGGCATCATCACTGCTAGTACTGCTGTCAGGCTCGGCGTCCGTGACCCACTTCTGCTTCGCCTTAAGCAGGACGTTAGAAATGATGTGATGGATACACAGCTGCTGTTGTGCCTCTGGGAACTGGTCATTTAGGGCGGCTTTCATTGCGTCGTCGAAGTCGGTGATAATAACGTCCGGGGTTCGGATCAGGTGCCGCTCTGTCAATTGCCGGATGCTTTCGGACAGAAACTGGAATCCTTCCCGTCTCTCGTTGTCGATCAAGCCGAATGCAGCATTGTAAACCGTCCCTAGGCAAGTTTGTCCGGTCGCTTGGAACAGTGGAAGCTTGAAGCGGTTGGTGTTGTATGTGTTATCAAAGCTCATAACCTCGGGGAATCGTTGCCACATTTTGAGGCAGTAGGGGAACGTCCACACAATACCGAGAAGGCGGTTCGAGTTGTTGTCGGCCCACTTAACAAGGTAGGGAATTTTCTTCTCGTCAAAGAGCTTAATGAGAGCCGCGGTAGGCGTATACCCATTGAGTTTGTCGCAGTTTATGAGGGCTCTGGCGTTGTAGATATCTTTCCGTGTAAAAACAGTCCCAGGATGTTGCTCCTGGACGACGGCACGTACATCTCGGGCCCGGATCCCAACTCTGCGGCTTGTTGATTCAACGGTAGCCCTAATGGCTGCAGTGAGCCTCCTATGCGAAGGATGCGCGGATGGCCCGATGCTGCGGCCGTGGTTGTGCTGACTGTGTTCAGGTTTTGCGTGCTCTCGCAAAAGCCACTTGCCCTCTTCTTTTGCCTCAGCAATCACCATCCACCGACAGCCACACTTACGGGATCTGCGTTGCCGGATCCCTGCGCCTTCAGTAGCTCGAGGATCCCCGAATCGGTCGCACTGAAATGAGTATCTGATTTTCCGGCCTTTATGAGAGTGGCCGTTCCGTCGAACGATGCCAAATCCATGAGCCTTTGCGAAGGCATTCACCGTGTCGAAGAGTACCTCGGCTGATGGCGCTGGATCGCCTGGGATTGAGGGATTTGGGATGGGGTCGGGGGTAGGCGACAAGGATTGTTGGGATTGTGAATGTCGGTCCGATGCCTCGGGAGACTGAGTAGATGGCCTTAGATGAGGGACTCGAGGCGGCGAATATGGCGGCGGCGACTCGTATGCATCGGATGTAAGTGGTGACCAACCCCACCTTTCGCGCCATTGGCGTACCCGTTCATATGACCGAGCAAGTTCTGTGGTCAGTGTTTTGCCTTCGCCGATAACCTCGCGCGCCAGCTGCAAGGCTGACTTGAACCCAGGCCCCGTCGCGGGCGGGGTCCTTGAAGCAGAGTGCGGCGGAGAGTCAGACGCAAACGGGTCGGTTTCAGGTCCAGGTATAGGGGCTGTAACTCGCTGTGGTCGCGGTAGTGCGGACAGGAAATCGTTCGAAAGATATATCTCATGATCGAAACGGAGCTCCCACCACGACTCATGGGGTCCCTGCGATCCGCGAGGGTGCGGCGCGGTTGTGAACGATCGCGGATAAGATGCGAAAAGATTTCCGAGCGCATCCTCGTCGCCTAATCCATAGTACTGGCCAATGCTTGCGGCACCAGCAGCCGACTGTGGGCTATCCACAGTCGTTGACGGGCTGCAGCTGCTCTGTCGGGAGTGTCGCCGTCGTTTCAGTGGACGCGGTTCCTCCCTTGGACTGGGTGTTCGAGCTCGTTTTCTTAAATTGCGCCTTGAAATAGTCCGAAAATCGGATTGGGGCATATTGAATGGTGCGTCGCCGAGCTTCGGATCCTTCTCAGCCTTGGGGAGGTCGGTTATACGTAGTCATCGGATGAAATCTAACCATGAGATTGCGTCGCATCGTTTCCCAAGGGATACTCGTAGACGCGAGTACAAATGAGCCCATTGCTGGAATCCAGCTGTACTAACAAAAGCGGGTCACGACCAATCAGATTTTGCAAAAGTCACGCCCGTGTAAGGGCGACGCCGTTGTAGCCAAAACGTCACGCCCGTATAGCAATTCCCCAAAAGAGAATTCCCTTTATCCCGGGGACCGATCAGAAGGAACGGAGAAGACGAAAAGATCCAAAGGAGGACGATTGCTGTCGATTATTTTGCTGTGGGGTTGAACCTAATCTTGCACAATGACGGGTTCCACTGAGGGGGACGTTGAGTCGGCGGGGCCGGCGGGGCTGGCGGGGCGAGCGGGGCGAGCGGGGTTCGCGACACCAAGACGATCATCTCGTCTGGCGATGCCGAGTGAGAAGGGG